TGGCTTCACCCCCTAACGTCCCTAATGCTGAGGGTAGTCAAACGGATGCTAAGGGTAAGTCCATGGGCAGCCATTGGGTCTATTGCTTAGGCTATGCATAGTACCTTTCCTACTCTGTGACCCATCATGTGAACATAATTAATAGTATTGGCTTGGATTCCCTGGAAGCTAATTTTTGTGGGTTTTATGTTTTTGCTTCATTGCAAAAACTAAAATCGGCAAAATTCTGTATCCGCTTCCTTGCATGATGTATATAGTTTGCAAGATGTTCGTAAAAATTTTATCTTACAAATGGCCAAGACTACTTACAAATGCAGGATTCGAGAAAATTTAGGGACTTGAAAATATCTCAGGGTATTCCTAAAAGTTATAGCAGTCCAGGGTTGCAATGGGCATCCATTTTAGGAATAGAGTAAGTCGGGGCTATTCTGTCCAGGGGCTATTCCATCCCCCTGTATAAACCAATGGGAAATCCGTGTGCAGCGGTCGTATGGCACGCCGTTAGTATCAAAATTCCCAAGTCTATGATATCACATTCTAAGCTTAGAATGTCACATCCTAAGCTTAGACTATTATGAATGGGTGTGTTTATATGGGAATGGTTTACTATTTTGAATATGGACTCTTCTATAGACTCTAGCTGGTCACAGTGACCTGGTGTATAGTTTTTTCTAAGAATTAAGCAGTCTTTTTTACTAGCCACGGTCAGAATCAGATTGGAGTGGCTAATGAAAGATATATAAATTACGCCATAAAGAGACTACAGCATAGATTTACAAGTGTTAACATTATTAATAATAGTATTATTATTGAACAATAATTATTTACAAAGTGTGAACAACAAGCGTAACAGTGTAAAAATATTCCTATTATTGGGGCGAGCATGAGCGAGACCCACACTAATCTGTCTAGGTCTATTTGCGTTACGTCTTGTTTGTGAACGGAAAAATACGAAAATTAAATTAGTATACTAATATTGATAAATTTGGACCACGTGGGAAAATTAATCTAGAGGGTGTGGTCAAAAAGAGCAAGATGGCGGAAATTTTAACGTGACAAACTCAGATTGAGTTTCTAACAGTTAGTTAAGAGAGAGGGGCTGTCTAAAGCATCTCTAAAGGCTGAAGAACTTAAAAGCAGTTTGATCTAAGACTCCTCTAGATTAGTCCTCTCATTGACAGAATTAAAATTGTGAGAGAAGCTTGATTAGAAGTTTAGCTTGTCACTTTTTCTCAAAGTATTAGGACAGTTCATTCTTGTCACTTTTCAGTACTAGGTAATTTTGGTCAGTGGTGTTAAATAGTGGGTTTGCTCTGTTCAGACCCCGCTGAACTATGAAGATGGGGTCTGAATATGCATGCATGTTAAGAGCTGGATTGATTTTATTTCAGTAGTTTTATTTCAAAAAGATGTTAATTGATGGAAGCTTGATTAAAAGTTTAGCTTGGCACATTTTTTCAAGGTGACAGGATAGTTCATCCTTGTCTCTTTTACTGGGTTATTTTGGTTGTGTTAACTGGTGTGTTTGCTCTGTTCAGACTTCAGACCCCGGCCATGAGGCCGGGGTTTGAATATGCATGCAGGCTAAGAGCTGGATTTATTATAATTTTAATCTTCTTATCAAACAATGTGAATTGATGGCTCGCCCCCTCAATGTTTACATTCACCTAGTTATTATTATTATTATGAGAGAGAAAGAGAGATGTGGGAAAAGAGGGAGAAACCCATAATCACATTATTATTATTATTATTATTATTATTATTATTATTATTAT